CAATCCAGAATCTCGACTCTATCCCAAGAGAAATCGTGGGAATAATTAATTCTGTGATCAGTGATGACAGAAGTTTGCGTGGTGTTACGTTTGATATGATTTTTGTGTTCATTAATTCTAGGTTGTAAAACTCTACCAGTCTGGCCTACGTAAGATGCCTCACAATTATTACAGTTAATTTTATAAACTACAAAAGGACAAGACAGAAAAGGTATAAGATCTTTTTGTACTTTTATAAATCTGGACAATTTATTTAAACTGTAAAAAGAGTAGTGTGCATCAGTCTCCTTATTGAAAGTTGACAAAAATTTCTCAGAGAAGTTTTTTGTGTAAGGCATCACAAACCAACGAGATGGTTTATCGTCAAGGTTATTATTAATCATAAATGTCTTTGAGTCATTGTTCTTTAAAAAATTATATTTAAGTCTTTTTTTAAAAATGTCATAAATAAAGTCAATAGGGTAATTATTGTCGTTAAGAATGTTAATAATATGGTCAAAGTTTTTCTTATGAAAGTCAGGGTGTGATAAAAAAATGCTCTGTCAATAAGACCTATGACTGTGCCTTTTTTCTGGCTGGTAGGATGATTAGAATGGAAATTGAGATATCTGCCAGAAAAAGTTGACTTGTGATACCAGTCATGTTTCAAAGAATTATTTGTCTTAATTATGGTGATGTCCAGAAAGTTCAATTTGTTATAGCCTATTTCCATGGTGAATTGTAGGCGAGGATGATAAGAATTGAAAAGGTGGAGGACTAAGTCAAAAGAATTTTTTAACGCTATCAAATTCGTATATAACTCAACTTATTTCATGTTTAATAACCAATTTTACCGACAGACTTTTGGCGCACCGATGGGTTCACCTCTCTCCCCCATTTTGGCTGATATTGTCATGCAAGACCTCGAACAGAACATCATTAATTCTTTACATTTCCAGCCACCTTTCTACGTTCGATATGTTGATGATATAGCTCTAATGGTTCCTGCCGATAGTTTTGACTTAGTCCTCCATCTTTTCAATTCTTATCATCCTCGCCTACAATTCACCATGGAAATAGGCTATAACAAATTGAACTTTCTGGACATCACCATAATTAAGACAAATAATTCTTTGAAACATGACTGGTATCACAAGTCAACTTTTTCTGGCAGATATCTCAATTTCCATTCTAATCATCCTACCAGCCAGAAAAAAGGCACAGTCATAGGTCTTATTGACAGAGCATTTTTTTATCACACCCTGACTTTCATAAGAAAAACTTTGACCATATTATTAACATTCTTAACGACAATAATTACCCTATTGACTTTATTTATGACATTTTTAAAAAAAGACTTAAATATAATTTTTTAAAGAACAATGACTCAAAGACATTTATGATTAATAATAACCTTGACGATAAACCATCTCGTTGGTTTGTGATGCCTTACACAAAAAACTTCTCTGAGAAATTTTTGTCAACTTTCAATAAGGAGACTGATGCACACTACTCTTTTTACAGTTTAAATAAATTGTCCAGATTTATAAAAGTACAAAAAGATCTTATACCTTTTCTGTCTTGTCCTTTTGTAGTTTATAAAATTAACTGTAATAATTGTGAGGCATCTTACGTAGGCCAGACTGGTAGAGTTTTACAACCTAGAATTAATGAACACAAAAATCATATCAAACGTAACACCACGCAAACTTCTGTCATCACTGATCACAGAATTAATTATTCCCACGATTTCTCTTGGGATAGAGTCGAGATTCTGGATTGTGAAAAACATTATTATAAGCGTTTAATTTCCGAAACTCTACATATTAAAAGACAAATATATGGCCTTAATCTACACAGTGACACGGAAAACCTCGACAAATCTTATGTACCATTTGTTGTTAATACAGATTAAATTCTCCTTTGCGCATGTCTACAACGTTCATTTCACTGTGCATATTTATGTCTGTTCAAAAATTTATTCAGTTAAGTAACACTCTTATCAGCGATCACTACCATATAATAGCTTGAATTTGTATCTTGATCGACGTTTTTGCGAACAGCAATTTTCTGTAAGTCAACAAATTATAATTTTACAATGCGTTTTCACTTTTTCATAATTTGTTAATAGTATTTCCATACATTATTTTTTGTTAATTTTTTTTTTGTAATCAATTCTTGTAAAACGAATTTTATAAAGACCAAAAACTATGGTCGAAACGTCATTTTTATTAACTATCAAATAAAGAAAATCATCATTATTACATTTATACACACAATAACAACTGTGTTTTTGACTTCAACTGCCTTGTCTACTTCTTGAAATTTTGAATATCTGGAGTCATCTGTTTTCTGAATTGTAACCAATAGGAATTGAGATGTAAAAACCATTTTGCTTTAACTTTTACCGTTTTCAAAATATTCAATTTGTTAACTTTCACTCTTTGTCATAAATTGCAGAGTAGCCGATTGAAGGTACCTGCAAATTTAGTTTCAAGCTATCTCTTCTGGTTCTCGAGATATCCGCGATTTGCGAAAAGGACTATGTATCGTTAAATGTAGAATACGCTCGATAATATTTTTTAATGTTTTTATATTTGTATTATATATATATATATATATATATATATAGATATATATTATTGTATTATATTATTATTGTACAGTGTAATATAAAATTCTCTCTTCTCGTTTTGATGTACATACATGGAAATCGCCACTAGTGACGACAAGAATTACATAGAAATAGTGACAAGAGAAAGGGCACGTTTTGCTCTGGCGGTGAAGTCGCGCATTAACTNTCCGACGACGACGACCATTTCTTAAATCTTATAAAACCTAATTTTTCGGGATTTTGGACTTTGGAACGAGATAAATCCGTTGGGAAGGCACGGATGAAAAAAATTGCGAAATACTTTTTTTCGTGCCTCGATCTCAACTTTCGATCGAGTCTAGGCCGAACTCGATCAGTTTAGCCGTTGTTGAGATCGGAAAATCTCTCGGCTAAATTTCGCGTATAAGAGGCACGGGGTACCTCGCTCAGCGCGCGCGCGCTTCGTTTGCGCATATACTTGGCGCGAGGCACTACCGTGCCTCTTGATTAATATAATTAATTAAAATTAATATAATTACTATATATTAAATAAAAACAGTATATAAAAACTAAAAAGTATAAAATCATTGTATCAATAGTTACTTTGCCTTTTGTGAAAAGTCAAAACATAAAAAATAATGAAGGCAAAAAAACTTGGCGTGGCTGCACTTCACAATCGGTTAAAGAATAAATCTTGTTTATCATATTGTTTGAAAATTGAAACGGAAAGAAAAGGTGAAGTTGTCGAAAAGCGTTCGTGCTAACGAGAGTGTGCAAATTTCATTAAGAAAACCGAATTTCTTTTTTTTGTTACTAAGGAAAATATTGACATAGCAACCGACTNGTGAGTGAAGGCAAGAGTCGAAGATTTGATCGGTTTTTACACGCAACAGTTTCTTTTTCAATCATTATTTTCTGTTATTTGTTAATGTTCCGNNTGTTCTTCTGTTTCAAAAAGAGCTTGACCGATCTTACAACGATTGAGACGTGTTTAACGCACGNTTCCTTCTTATCTATTAGAGACGTGCCACGCACGGTAACTATCCAAGCTTTGTTTCTCAATAAGACGTGCAAGGTTACTTCCTTTCAACTATAATTCTTTGACTTGCACGGACCACTTTTTCCTTTATTACAAAATTCTAACAAAATCGCTCTTCATAACTTTATTGACATTTAAATACGATATTACATCTCCCTTTCTTAAAAAATTGTATCTTCATTTTTATTAAACAAGAATAAAATTGTTAAACGTTATTAGCACAATTTCCCTTTTTTAATTTCAAACATTATTTTTGGTCCTTCGAGCCGGATCTGACGAAAAAACCGCTTAAACCAAAGGCTGAACGAGGAGACGTGACCATGTTGAGCGTAGACTCAATCTACAACTTTCTCAAAGTTACGAGATGTCCAAACCACTCGAAAACCTCTCCAATACTGGAACGATTACTCGGCACCGTGTGGAAATTCGTCTGCACGCTGTAAACGATCAATGGGACGAATTCTATGCAAATCATAAGGCCATTACTTTAGCATTGTCGATGCTCGATTATAATGATTTTGATCAGGTAAGACAACATCCTTATCTCTCTCAAAACATCTACTCAAGCACAAGAGAATGCTATTTGGAAACTGCCGCAAAAATGACTTCACTCTTAGAAGATTTTCCAAACGTATTAAATAGACCATCGCTACAGCCATCAGAATCTCAACCGCCAACATTCACTGCGTTGCGCCATGGACCGCGATTCCCACGAATCGATTTACCAAACTTCAATGGATCATTGTCTGATTGGTTACCCTTTAGAGATTTATTCTCTTCTATAGTCCTTTCCAATGCTAGCATTTCTCCTGTAGAAAAATTACAATACCTCAAGACCAGTCTTGTTGGCTCTGCTTCTCATCTATTGAAGAATACCGCTCTGACAGCAGACAATTTCCAAAAAGCTTAGGATTCTTCTACTGCGTTTTATGAAAACGATCGTTTATTAGTCCATTCAGCATTACAATCTCTCTTCTCAATGAAAAGAATGACAAAGGATCAGCTACGGAAATAGAACAACTCTATACTTCCATTATGCAAATTTACCGCACTTTTGAAACTCTACAACGTCCAATTGATACCTGGGATGACATACTCGTGTTCATGATGGTACAAAGATTAGATTCAGAGTCTATGAAAGCATGGGAACATTACCTTGGATCATCTAAGAAGCCACCAACTTGGGATCAATTTTGAGAATTCTTAGTGACTTGAATGTTAACTCTACAAGCCTTTGAGAAATCTCAAACAAAACCTTCTTCTCAACTTCGTAATCAATCAGCAAGGTCGCATTCAGTAAGCTCAAAATCAACGGGAGAGAAGCCTGATAAAACTTGCTTACTTTGTGAAGAAGAACATTATATATCTTATTGTCCTAAGTATCAACAAAAAACTATAAAACAACGTTTAGATCTTGTCTCTGCAAAAGGACTTTGTTTTAATTGTCTCGGACATCATAGAGCAACAAATTGTCAATTAACGAGGCGATGCATCAAATGTGGAAAACGCCACCACACGACCTTCCATAAAACATCAACACAAGAAGAGACGAAAAGTACATCCGATGTACGACATCAAGCATCGTCTTCTATCGAGCTTGCAGCAAACATTCCATCAACCGCTAAAGAATCAACTAAAGTCGTTCATCATATTCAACCTGAGAATTTTGATTCGAATCCAACCGTGCTGTTAGCCACCGCCAAGGTCAAAGTTGTTAATCATTATGGAGAAATTGTTCCAGCGCGGGTTCTTTTAGATCAAGGTTCTGAAGTATCTTTAGTTTCTGAAAAACTAGTTCAACAACTGCATCTCTGTCGAAAAGCTTCTCACCTTCGTTTGATAGGAGTTGGAAGACAATCTTCTGGGAAAACAAAAGAAATTGTGACACTTTCATTAAGACCTCATTTTGACACGAATACAGAAGTTTTCGTCACCGCATACATCCTTCCTAAGTTAACTTCAGCATTTCCAGCAGCATCACTAGTCTCTTCAACGTGGGCTCATCTTCGTAACTTACCAGTAGCAGATCCTGAATTCATGAAATCAGGAAATATCGACATTATCATTGGCGCTGAAATGTACGGACAATTGTTAGAAGGATCTATTATAAAGGGACCTTTAGATGCTCCAATAGCGCAACTCACTAAATTTGGATGGATAATTTCTGGACCTACTAACTTTATTTCTGTCAATCGAGAATCTCAGAATTATCACTGCACAATTGATCACGATCTTTATGAGCTAATAAAACGTTTCTGGCATCAAGAAGAAATCTGCCCTGCTCAAATCACTAAACTATCTTCTGCTGAACAGAAATGTGAAGAACATTTTGCTTTGTCTCATTCTCGCGATTCTACTGGAAGATACATAGTGCGATTACCTTTCAAATTTCCGCCTGATCAATTAGGCGATTCCAAGCCCTCCGCGTTAAAAATGCTAAATCATCTCCAAAGGAAATTTCAAAAGGATCCGATGTATTATAAAGCTTATTCCTCCTTTTTATCAGAATATGAAAATCTTCAACACATGAGCAAGGTTCCTGTCGACGAATCCAAGCCGGAACAAATTTTTTATTTACCTCATCACGGTGTCATTCGAGAAAGCAGTACCACGACTAAGTTACGAGTTGTCTTTAATAGATCTTGTGCTGTGGTTGACGGATTAACATTGAATGAAATTCTTCATACCGGTCCCAAGCTTCAAACTGATATTTTCGATGTTCTAATCCGATTTTGGCAGTTCCAGTACGCCTATTCATGTGACGTAGAAAAAATGTACAGACAAATCCGAGTTCATCCTGACGATTAAAAATTTCAACGAATTTTGTGGAAAGAAAATCAGAAACTTATTTCATTTCAACTCTCAACAGTAACGTATGGTCTTGCTTGTGCGCCATATTTAGCGCTCAAAACCTTCCTTCAATTAATCAAAGATGAAGGCCACAATTTTCCTTTAGCGGTCGAAACAATCTCGAAGGCTCGGTACGTTGATGATGTTTATGGAGGAGCTGACACCATCCAAAAAGCACAAGAACAAGCATTCCAGGTCTATCAGCTCTGTATGGCGGGCGGTTTCCCTTTAAGAAAATCGACGAGTAATAACCCATCAGTTCTTGACTGCATCAAAATGCAGTTTTGTAGTCCCGTTAACTCCGTATCCATTCATGACAATATCGTTTACGCACTAGGTGTCATATGGAACACTACGTCAGATAATTTCCAATTCAAGCTAAACAAACCTCCATCCACTTATATGTCAAAACGTATCGTATTATCACAAATTGCGCAAATCTTTGATCCGCTAGGCCTTCTATCTCCGATTATTATCAAAGCGAAAGTCTTCTTACAAGAATTGTGGGCAATTAAGTTATCTTGGGATGAAATCTTACCCACCTCTCAACTCTCGAATTGGCAACAAATCCTTCAATATATGGCCAGTGTTGATGTTATCGAAATCCCAAGATGGATAGGTTCAAACACAACAAATCCAATCGAGATTCACGGATTCTGCGACGCATCTCAATCAGCTATGGCAGCTGTCGTCTACGTAAAAATTCTCCACCCGACTAGAAAAGCAAACACTTCCATTCTTTGCTCAAAAACCAAAGTCGCGCCTTTAAAACGAATGACAATCCCTCGCCTCGAGCTATCAGCGGCTGTCATGCTTACTAAACTAACTCATCATGTCCAACAAGTTTTGAACTTGTCTAATTCTGTATGTTATCTTTGGACGGATTCTTCAATTGTTCACACTTGGTTGAGTAAACATCCTTCTCGTTGGAAAGATTTTATTCACAACCGAGTATGCTTCATACAAGAAACATTGCCTCAAGCTATCTGGCGACACGTATCCGGAAAAGACAACCCTGCTGATTGTGCCACCAGAGGTCTATCAGCTTCGCAATTGCGAGATTTTCACTTGTGGTGGACAGGACCTGTATGGTTATCAAAAAATTCATCAGAATGGCCAAATTGCTTTCCGACCTTTGATACGGTACATCATCTGGAAGAGCGATCTTCTTCAAACGTTATAATTCTACAAACATCAAAGTATCAAGAACATATTTGGAATCTTATTCTGCGTTACTCGTCCTTCAGTCGATTACTCCGAATAACTGTCTTATGCAGAAGAGTCATCATACGCATGAAACGAGTCCCAAAGACTTCTTTTAAATATGCCATTAACCCTGATGAAATCTTAGAAGCTCAGAAATTTTGGATTCAAAGAACCCAACAAAATTATTTTGCAGGAGAAATCAAGTTGCTCTTAACCAAAGCGGATCTACCTAAAACCAATCCTCTCAATCGTCTATATCCAATCATCGATGAACAAGGTTTATTACGCGTTAGAGGTCGGCTAGAAAATTCAACCCTTGAACAAACAGCTAAGCATCCTTATATAATTCCAAGACAATCTGCTTTAAGTACCTTGATCATCCAAGACGCGCACGAACGAACTTTACACGGTTCAACTCAAGACACGCTTTCTTATATCCGAAACACATACTGGATATTAGGAGGCAGAGCACCAGTACGATCCTATATTCTTAAATGCGTCAAATGCGCTCGTTATCGCCGAACTCAAGCTCAACAAATCATGGGGCAATTACCCGCTTCTCGAGTTAATCCGTCTCGTGTTTTTTTACATAGCGGCGTAGATTATGCCGGCCCTTACAACATTAAGTCCTGGAAAGGCAAAAATGCTCGTTCTTTTAAGGTTTGGATTGCTCTGTTCGTATGTTTTAGCACATCAGCTATTCATCTCGAGATCGTCACCGATTATACTACTGATGCATTCGTCGCCGCCTATAAACGTTTCACTGCTCGGAGAGGGATCTGTGCTTCCCTCTCAAGTGACTGCGGTACTAATTTTAAGGGAGCAGAACAGCAGCTAAAACATCTTTTTTCAGAAACCTCCTCTGAACTTCAACGACTAGCTTCTATAATCGCTAATGACGGAACTAAATGGATCTTCAATCCACCATCCGCTCCTCATTTTGGAAGAAAATGGGAAGCTGGCGTGAAAAGTTCGAAATATCACTTCAAACGTACAGCAGGAACCTTGAATCTTACTTACGAAGAAATGACTACCCTTTTAACAAAAATAGAAGCCATTCCTAATTCCAGACCTTTATGTCACCTTACAGATGATCCCAACGATTTAGACGTCCTAACACCAGGTCATTTTCTTATCGGTCAACCACTATAACGCATGTACCAGAACCAAACCTAATACCCATCAAAACTTCAAAATTATCCCGTTGGCAACGAATAAGCCAAATGTTACAAAATTTTTGGTCAAAATGGTCAAGAGCTTACTTGCAGCGCCTTCAAGCAATTTACAAGTGGAAACACCAATCTACACCCATACAAGTCGGAACTTTAGTTCTAATTGTAGATGAGAGATACCCTCCATCCAAATGGCCACTAGGTCGCGTAATAAAAACTTATCCCGGTCCTGACAACAAAATCAGAGTTGTTTCTATTAAAACTGCTGCATCTATCATTAAACGACCTATCGTCAAGCTATGCCCTCTACCAGTCGAAACACACAAAGAAGGAAATTCGTCGCTTGCGCCAACGAAGGCGGGCAGTAATGTTTGAAAATCTAAACGGAAAGAAAAGCTGAAGTTGTCGAAAAGCGTTCGTGCTAACGAGAGTGTGCAAATTTCATTAAGAAAACCAAATTTCTTTTTTTTGTTACTAAGGAAAATATTGACATAGCAACCGATTTGTAAGTGAAGGCAAGAGTCGAAGATTTGATCGGTTTTTACACGCAACAGTTTCTTTTTCAATCATTATTTTCTGTTATTTGTTAATGTTCCGTCTGTTCTTCTGTTTCAAAAAGAGCTTGACCGATCTTACAACGATTGAGACGTGTTTAACGCACGATTCCTTCTTATCTATTAGAGACGTGCCACGCACGGTAACTATCCAAGCTTTGTTTCTCAATAAGACGTGCAAGGTTACTTCCTTTTAACTATAATTCTTTGACTTGCACGGACCACTTTTTCCTTTATTACAAAATTCTAACAAAATCGCTTTTCATAACTTTTTATTGACATTTAAATACGATATT